CTTTCTTTCTTTCTTTCTTTCTTTCTTTCTGTCCCTGAGACAGGGTTGCTCTGTACAGCTTTGGCAATCCTGGAACTCACTTTGTAGACCAGGCTGGCCTTGATCTCAGACATCCACTGCCTCTGCCTCCCAAGCACTGGGATTAAATGGTATGTACCACCATTGCCCAGCAATGCTTAATTTTTAACTGTGGTAAAATGCACATGCATTTTCAGTGCCAACCATCAGAAGGTGTCGTTTTGCCTCATCTAGGGAAGGAACGACACTGAAGCAAGTGAAAACCACCTACTGGAGCCACAGAGATGCCTGTGGCAGAGGTGGGGCTAGTGCTGAGCTCCAGGGCCTGTCTCCAACCAATCCAGACACAGAGAAGCTGGTCGGCCAGTCTGGGAGCCAGCCCTCAATGGCTGCTGAGGCTGGCCAGGACTGGCACTGTGAGGCCATGCAGAGGATCAGCAGAAGATGGGGGGGGGGGGCGGCGCGGACCCAGGCAGCGGGCACGGAGAGCTGTGCTCTCTAGTCCACCATGACAGGACGCCAGCCTGTACCGAAGCCCAGAGAAGAAGGCTGTTTTCCTGTGTCAAATGGGCTTTAGGTTAAGATTTGGATTTCGCCAGTGAACTGTGAGTCAGTTAGATCACCTCAAGGAATCAGGTTGGAACTCCTGTGCTCGGACTTAGCTAACTAAGCCTGAATTAAAAAAAGGATGACCTTCCCCCAGCAGGAAGTAATTCTGCTAGCTGGAGTCCTTTGGACTTGAACTGCTGGCCTTCCCTGAATCTCCTGCATGCAGTCCCTACCCCAGTCTGAACTCACTAACCCTCCATAATCACAGGATTCAACTCGGAAGGCAGAGGCAGGCAGATCTCTGTGAGTTCGAGATCAGCCTGATCTACAAATTGAGTTCCAGGACATCCAGAGCTGTTAGACACAGAGATGCACTGCCTTGGAAAAACAAACTCTCTCTCTCAGACACACATACCGTTGCTATCTTTTGGAAGAAACCTGACTCCCACTCTAAGAGTCACAGGGTGCTCTCTCTGCTTAGCAGAACATATCCCTTGCTGGGTCAGGAAGAGAGAAGCCTCAGGCAGGAGCTCTCTCTGGCTGACTCTTCCTACTAGTGATGGGGACTGTTGTCCTTCCCAGAACACCAGGGTGCCAGCCCTTGGCTTAGCAGGACCCATACCCAACAAAGCACTCCAAAGCTTGGTTGCTGCTGCAGGAGGAGGGTGTGCTGGCAGGGAGTGGTCACTGACTTCTGCAGGGGTGATGGAGAGGGCACTGCCAAAGGCAGAGCAGCCTCTGGGTTCCATCCCCCATGACAGGGAGCTAGCTGCCCAGAGCCAGAGCTGGAACCAGGAAATGACCCTGGATGGATAGAGGACAGCAGAGGGAACGGGAAAAGGAAGTCCAGGAGGGCACTCTGCCATGAGTTCCAGAAAGTCATTTGCTGCAGGAACACACGGGCAGTTTGACGCATGTGTTCATTGGGAGGTGCCCCAATATAGGCAAGGATTTATTAGGGTGCCACTTTATGTCAGTTCATCAGTGGGGATATTGTGTTGGCCGGGAAGAGCAATATAAGAGGCCAGGGAGATTGCCTCTGCACTTGTGTTTTGAGTGCTGCTGAGTCACCCCGGCAGCTGAGCACCCCGGCAGATGATGGCACGTCCTTTCCTTATGCAGGAAGCCACACAGGAGGTGGTCAGGTGTTGCTCTGTGCTCTGTGCTCTGTGGGTTTGGAACCCACTCTTGGTTGCTGCCACAGACACCTTGTCCTGGGAATAACGAGACCTAGACGAGGGTGAAGACAGGGTGCGGACCAGGAGAGGGGAAAATGTACCAGGTGAAGGCGGATAGGTCTAACATCCACCAAGGGTTCACACCTGTGCACACAAACACTCGGCTCTCCTGTCTGGCTATCCATGGCCTCTGATTCGAAAGAGTCATTTTTATCAGGATGTACAAAAATACTGTATCTTGAGCTGCCACATATCTGGTGGGGACACGTGAGGGAGAAAAAAGGAACACACATAAACTCTTTTCTCATATTTAAAAAGCAAAGTGGCGGGAGGGAGTGAATCTCTTTTATCTGAAATGCTTGGGGCTAGAAGTATTTTGGATTTAATTTTGAAACATTTTGGAACATATAGCTGCAATGAAATGTTTTGGGGACAGGATCCAAGTCTTTGGGGGCTGGCAGGGTTTCTCTATGTAGGCCAGGCTAACCTTGAACTCACAGATCCACCTGCCTCTGTTTCCCGAGTACAGGGATCAAAGGTGTGCGTTACCATACCTGGCCATGTAGGACCCAAGTCTCTCTCTTTTATGTCTATATGTGAGGGCCTGCGTGTATGTATGCACATGCACCACGTGCGTGCCTGGCCTGGTCATATAAGGCTTTCAGGTTCCACTGAAACTAGGGTTGCAGACTGTAGTGAGCTGCATGGGGTGGGTGCTGGAAAAAACGCCAGGTCCTCTGCTGGTAAAGTGCAAAGTTCCCAGAAAGAAGCCACACCTTTTACGGCACTTTCTACGGAGCTCATTAATTGCCTCGAGTGTCAGTGACTTTGGAGGTACTGGGGTATTAAAGGCAGGTCTAATACAGTTTCTCTTGGGTTATCTTCAGCCCTCGAAATAGCCATTCCTTGCCTGACTCCACATCTGACCTAACATCCTAGACAAATGGATGAAACTTTTGGGAACGCATAGTCAAAACTCTAGTTCCCACCCAGCAAAAGTCTGGGGAGTCACCAAACAGGATCTGAAGTCTATAGCGAGGTTACCTCCTGCATTGGAACCACCTCCTGTATGTTTACGACTTTCTTTGTTCTGTGACTATAAAAACACCATCAGACTGTCCACACTGGGACACTGAATTTAGGGTGATCTAAATCTGAGTTTCTGGCTCCATAATAAATTCTTATTCCCTCTGAGGTGAGCACTGTGTTTTACTGTCATAAACAACAAGTCCCCCGTCCCAGTACCACATCGTATTGCAGAAATTCATTTATGCTGCTGAGCATGGTGGCGCACACCTTTAATCCCAACACTAAGAGGCAGAGACAGGTGGTTCTCTACGGGTTCAAGGTCAGCCTGGTCTTCACACTGAGTTTTAGGTTAGCCAAGGCCACTCAGGTAGGCCCTGTCTCAAAGAACAACAAGAAATCATTTATGTTTCACATGTGCATTATATGAATATGCACAATATAACTTGAACATAATTTTACAGCTTTTAGAGACAGGCTCTCTTGCCAGGCTTAGTGACACATGCCTATAATTCCAGCACTCAGGATGCTAGGTTGGGAGGGTTGCAACAATCTTGAAGCCGGCCTGGGATATACAGTGAGACTCGGTCTCAAAACCAAGAAACAGACAACCACCACCACCAACAAAATCAAAAAATAAGCCCTGAGTATAGCTATGCAGTTCAAGCTAGCCTGTAACCTTTTTTGTTTTTTGGTGTGTGCATGCACACGGTGTATGTGTGCAAGTTTACGGATGCATGCAGGCACATGACTGCTTGGAGGCCAGAGGGTGAGAGCAGGTCTCTGTTCTATCCCTTCCACTTTATCCCCTGAATACAGGTCTCTCACTGAACCCGGAGCTCACAGGTGGGTTTTTTTTTTTTTTTTTTTTTTTTTTTTTTTTTTTTTTTTTTTTTTTGCTACACTGGCTGGTTAGCAAGCCCCAGCAGTCCTGTCTTCTCCTCCCCGCCTCCCCAGCACCAGGGTATCAGTACACACAGTCACGCCTGCCTTGTGCGTGGGTGCTGGGGACCCAAACTCAGATCCCTATGGTTGTGTATGTTCTCTTTCTCCAGTCCCATCTGTGGCATTCTTGGTCTTCCTGTCTCTGCCTCCTATGTGCTCGGGTTACGTACTGTGATGTGACACACTGCTTCAACAGCATTTGAAACTCTTCTTAAAATAAGCCAGGTTGGGCTGGAGAGACGGCACCGGCTGCTCTTCCAGAGATCTTGAATTCATTTGCCAGCAACTGCAGGGTGGCTTACAAACCATCTGTAATGAGATCTGAAGCCCTCTTCTGGCCTGCAGCTATATGCATATGCAGAGCGCACACACATAAAATATAAATAAATAAAATAAAAAATAAGCCAGGTGTGGTTGGCAGCACACATTTCTAATCCCAGCATTTGGAAAGCTGAAGCATCAATACTGTCAACATCAAAGTCAGTGAGAACTTCAGAGTGGGCTGGAGGGACAGCTCATCAGGTAAAGTACCTGTCATGCAAGTGCGACTAGAGTTGGAATCCCTAGACAAATTTATAAAACCATAAATGCCACTGGGTAGTCACGGTGAACCACCTGTGATCCCTGTACACAGGAGACAGATGGAAATCAGCCGACTAGACTACCTGAATCAGTGAGCGCTGGATTCTACGAGACCCTGGAAACCAATCAAGGAAGCCAGCCGATGTCAGCTTCATGTCCGCAGAGGCAAATGCACAAATAAGAACCCGCATACACACTCGAGTGTGCCCCTGCCCCACCCCTCACTGCCCAACAACGAACAAGTTCTATTTACTATCAAGTCAGGGTTCAAAGGTTTCAGATTTGGGAGCATTTTGGACTTCAGTCTTTCAGATTGGGGGTGGGGGTTAGAATCTATTTATTAAATAATCATTTCCTGTCTACATAAGAAAGGTCCTGGGTCTGGGATTAGACATGTGCGCTCCATCTGTGAGATGCTCCCCTTTCACTCAGCCATGGGTGCTTTCTGGGTCTCACAGGGCCGCCTACAGACCGTGTGCCAGCACTGTGCCAACCTGTGGTGGCAGCCCTGAAGATGGTGGAAAGGCAGCTGCATTCAAGGTGATTTCCTTCCTGGGTGTTGACGCCTGAAAACCAGCCAGTGTTTAATGCAAGGAACGAGCAAGTGCCCTGTGTAGCTGGGACTGAGTGATAACTGGGGCAATGCCTCCACCAAAATGTATTCTCCTTGCTTACTCTGTCTTTTCAAACATGATATTTATTAGTTTTGTGTGCATGTGCATGGGTGAGAACGTACTGTGGCCCATGTGTGGGGGTCAATGATACTGTATGGGTGTCAGTTCACTCCTGCCATGTGGATTTTGGGGATCAAACTCAGATTGTTAGGCTTGGTAGCAGGGGCTTATATTCACAGATCCAACCTGCTGGCTCTGTTTTATTTTGTGAAGCTTGGAACAGGATCTTGCTATGTAGCCCAGGCTGGCCTTGAACTCACAGTCTGGTGCAACAATAGCTTTTTTTTTTTTTAATTTTTTTTTGGAGGGGGGCGGTGGTGACACACATCTTTAATTCCATAATTATTTTCCATAATTCCATAATTCCAATAAATGTATTTTAGAAGCCTGGTCATCCAGTGAGCTACCTGATGAGATGGACAGCTCCTCCTATATTGAACAGACATGGCAGAGGAATCACCCACTCTGGAGTGTGGCAGTTTATCGAGATAGAAGAGGACACCAGGGATCAGAGTGGAGACACCACTGTCCCCTGCCCCTGCCAGCCCTCACCCTATCTTATCCAGGCTTCCCTCTGCGTCACCACCACTTCAAAACCTAGTCCTGATTTTATCAGAGTTTGTTTTTTTTTTTTTTTAACAAAAATAAAAAGAAAATAATAAAATAAAAGTCTGGTCATCAGTGTTTCCCAGTAACTTGATGCTGAGGATTTGAAGGAGCTGGCAGGAAGGGCTGGTAAGATAGCTCAGCAGGTAAATCAGATGCTTGCTGCTCAAGCTTGGGGACCTGAGTTCAAACCCCGGAAAGAACACAGTGGTTGTCCTCTGATACGCACATACCATGGCCCACCTTCCAGCTGCACTTATACAAACTGATTATGGATTTTTAAGAAAGGAAAGGAAAAGCTTTTACACGGGAGAGAAAGGGGGAATAGTGAGGCTGGAACTTTATTTTTGGTTCCCCAAAAGCAATGTTATAAAGCAAGGCAGGGTGCTGCAAAGTCCTGGAAAGGAGCCTGCGTGGCAACTGTGTCCAAAAACCCCAGGAGCTGGGCCAACGGGGCAGTGCTATCATTCCGTGTGTCCAGGGCTGTGGCTGCCCAGACACCCCACTCTTCCGGGATGAGGCACCGTCCCTACCCCAGAGGCAAACATTCCCCGCCAAGGCTGTGCAGATAGCCTGGCCTTTTCTCTGTCTTTAATGTCCATCTAACGTGCTTTCTGACAGCCAGGAATGGGGACACGGCGGCAGCCACCCATGTGTGCCGTGTCTAAGGATGGTGAGAATCACATGGCCATGGGACAGTGCCGTTGGCGCCTTGAGTGTGCGAGAGGGCTGTGGCTGCCTGGAGCCTGTGGTCAGGGGTGTGACCTGTCTTTGTGGTCAGGTAGGAGGGAAGGGTGCCTGGCTGAGATCCACAAAGAGACTGAGCTGAGGTCAGCCCTGCAAACAAGAGGTTGGGAGCCGGCAAACAGTATTCCCTGCATGGTCAGTGTGGGGGGTGGGGGGTGGGGCAGCGTGTCCACTTCCCACTTTCCACCCTATTCTTCCTCATGTGGAACCCCTACACTTCAAAAGAGCTCAATTCTGTGACTGACCCCAAGATGAAGGCACCTAAGAGTTCAGCTCCGAGGGGCATTGGAGGACCAGCTGGGTGTAGTGGGGAGGTTCCCAGGAGAGCTTTGTGGTGGTGCCCCGCCACTGTGAGAATGGCTATTTTTAGGGAAAGGGCTGTCTTGAGTGGTGAGCTTCGGAAATGAGCTCAGCATTTACAGGAAGAAAGAGGCCCCAGCACAGGAAGGGCAGACTTGGCAGAGCTGAAGAGAGGAGAGGGCCCCTGTGGTGAGGCAGCAAGCAGGCAAAGTGAGGAGGCTGTGGCTGACTTTGATCCTTACCCTCACTATAGGAATCCCAGAGCCAAGGAGCCCGAGCTCTCCTCCAAGAAGTGGGAGAAGGGCCATGGCAGACTGGCTAGTGAGGGAGAGCTACACACACTACAGGGAAGGGGCTTCTGTTGACTCTAGATACCACTGAGGTGTGTGTGTGTGTGTGTGTGTGTGTGTGTGTGTGTGTGTGTGTGT